TTTTCAAAAGTAATCTGTCATCTCAAGAACATAAGAGCCATTAGCATTAGCTTCTTACCTGGAAATCAGATTCATTGAAATCATATGGCACATTCCAGCCAATCTTGCCAAACTTCCTTCTCTCCTGAACCACAGCATGGAAAAATGCCAAGACATAGACTAATGATTTAAAGGCAGGATGTGGGCACTGCTCTATGGCTTCTGGGGGGATTTTGAAGTAGGTAGCTCTCATATTCAGTTTCAGACCATTAGGTGGTTCTGTCACAACCTACATCAAAGTAATCAGGGAAGCCATTAATTACTGAATAGACTCAAGAATACATATTGTAAATAGACGGTGCTTTCTCAGTGTGTTATATAATGCAAGCTTTAAAAACCTAATCAGCTTTCTAAATTCAGACCCATAAGGGAACTTCTCTTATGTAAAGTTAGGACACAGACCTGTTTATTTTATCAGGGTAAACACGTGTAAAGAGAAATTTGGTATCAATTTAGAAAGAGTCATGCAACCGGGTAAATATTATTAACATTTATCATACTTAAAGATCTAATTTACTGAAATATACCAGTAGCCTGACTGCCCATTTTGGTAAGTCACACGCATCATTACGGTAGGACGGCTGAAGTCTTTAGCGTGGCTCTTAAGGCACAGCCAGCTTCCTGGCAACACGTTCACTGCTCTGCAACCCCTTGTCCTCGCTGCTCATGAAAGAGGGTATTTGCAGCCTTTAATCAAAGCTTTGTTCATGCTTTCTGCTCCCCACACTGCAGAGCTGTTGCCGAGGCCCTGGGGATGTACTGGGTGGATGGATCATGCCGCTGCCTTTGAACGTGTCGCACAGAGTGGTTACGTTTACAGGAGTGGCTCAGCACAATCCCAGTAAAGCCACCACAGAAAGGGCATTAGGACAGCAGCCTGCCTTGTGCTTTCAAAATAATCAGCTCAGCTTGCTTGTGCTAAATGCTGCAGCCTGAAGTAGCAGCTGGAAACCATCATCCTATTACAGCCTCTGCTCTAGTGACACTATTGCCAGGCCAGACACAGACCTCGGCTCTGCACTTCAGCATCAGGACTGACAGGGCTATTTCTGTCTCTCCAGCTACTCCCCATTAGCAGTGCCACTTGGGGCTAAGGAGCACTTGTCTCATCTCCAGGTTTGCTGACAATCCTCTGCTCGGAAATAAATGCTTCAGAGAAACACTACTGAGTGGTTTTCACCTAAAGAAAAATCACCATCCTATAAACAGGCTGATGAAAAGAGCATTTGACTTGGAAAGGCAGAAAGCTCCTAGAGACCAAGCCTGCGGCATTCAAGTCCTGCTCCTCCCCAGAGCAGTCTGTTTTGCTGAATAAGAGAGGCAGGACACGTCCTCCCCCTGCTCCCTACCTTTAGTGACTTCTGCAGGATTCCGATGGGGAAGCCCTTGGTGGGGTCTGTCGTCAACCAGAGGCGGAAGTCTGGGTGAGGCTTTGTGATTTTCTCCAGGGCCTTCTCCAGGTCAATAAGCCACCGCACCAGCAGGTGACAGTTCTGCAACATTAACCACAGGCCACGAGCCACCACGTTCTCCAGCATCTGCAGGGCAACCTTAGGAGAGGGAAAAAATTGCCTGTGAGCAGTCTTCCTTTTATCCCAGAAGCAGAACGACTCTGATGGGTTAGTGCTGTGAATTTCTTCTTGCTAACGAGCACACTTGGCTTTCCCATTACTGATAGCAGACTGACCAGAACACTGCACATTAAGAACAGATCTGTTGCATTACCACAAGAAGGTGCTCCAAAATACTCTTTTTATTTCATTAATTCCTTCTGAAATGAAAGTCATGCAAAGCATTCAGTGATTTCATGGGCTGGAAGAGGGTGGTGATCAGAGCTTTAGATGCTCTAAAGGAACCTAACAGTTCTGCAGCGACTGAAATCACAGCAAACTCAGTCAGCTGCTGAGCTCTGCAGATCCCTGCCTTAGTGTCTGTAACAAAGAGGGAAGTGGGCAGCAAAGAGAGCGTGTCTTTTTGGTACACACATGACACCCAAGATGAACCATGTCCATAGACAGAAAGACAGGGTCACTGATTAAACTCTGAAAGACTACAGAGAAATATCCTTTCAGCTCAACTTTTTTTAACAAAGATGACAAAATCATTCTGAATCCATCCTTATCCAAACCACAGAACCAGCCAAATGCCCCTTGCAAGTTACAGGAGAACATTATTCCCAGGCTGACAAATTGTATGCCAGGTCTAAACAACCAAGTAATTCCATTTGGAATGGAGCAGGTCTTTGGAAAGGAAATTTGGACAGACCCATAATGTTAAGATTATGATTTGCAATCACCCACTACCTTCCTGCAAACAGCACATTCCTGCCCTCCCACTGAAATTACCTTCTCTTGGCCTTGTCCCATGGCGAGGAATTTGAGCCTGTTCCCACCAAAGCCGCTCCTCTCGGCCAGCTTCATGAGGTCACTGGCAGGATCCGAGCCAGGACTTAAGATAAAAACGATGGGCGAGTAAGGACTGCTCTGCTCAAAGATGGCCTCGAAGCTGATCACGGGGGGCTGCACGTACCTGGAAAGAGAAGCAAAAGGAAGCACAGTAAACTGCTTTGCTGGTTTATACAAAAGCAGCCACCTCACATCAAAGTTCCCTGCAGAATGTATATGGAAATAACACATTCTCTATGCTCTATTATTTAGACAAATTGCATAATTATGTAACTGATTACAACTCCAGTTTTGTGTGAAGTACCTGAACAGAGGGATTCTGATTTGTAATGATGGAGTAACTTACTTCTCACTCATTGTCAGAGTAACATAGTCTGTAACTGCCCGATATACCCGGTCCACTCGGAAGCACCGCAGAAGCAGGAGCTTCTGGAAGTTTGTGAGACTGTTCTGGTAGTGCATGGGGAATGGCGTCTGCTCCAGAGCATCGATATCATACCACTGGCAAAGAGAGATGGGAGACAACGCAAATTAATCACATGGATCTATCAGTGAAATTACTAGGAAAGGTAGAGAAAAGCAATTTCATTAACAGGGGGCGAAAACCAAGAGACAGGAGGAAGAAAATCAGCTATAAACATTTTTTTAAAAGATTGTAATAAAGGAATGACAAA